TTTTCTTTATTTTTTACTGTTTTTATTTTTTTTTTCTTCAAAGATATTTTCGGACCGAAAACGGTCTGGATATATTTATAGAATGATGCCTGTTTGGAGACGAAACTTTTAAAAGTTACAAGCAAGTCCAAACTATTCAGACCGAAAACGGTCTAGATATATTTATAGAATGACGCCTGTCGGGAGACGGAACTTTTAAAAGTTACAAGCAAGTCCAAAATATTCGGACCGAAAACGGTCTGGATATATTTATAGAATGACGCCTGTTGGGAGACGAAACTTTTAAAAGTTACAGGCAAGTCCACAATATTCGGACCGAAAACGGTCTGGATATATTTATAGAATGACGCCTGTTGGGAGACGGAACTTTTAAAAGTTACAGGCAAGTCCACAATATTCGGACCGAAAACGGTCTGGATATATTTTGAGAATGGCGCCTGTCGAGATACGGAACTTTTAAAAGTTGCAAGCAAGTCCAAAATATTCGGACTGAAAACGGTCTGGATATATTTATAGAATGACGCCTGTTGGGAGACGGAACTTTTAAAAGTTACAAGCAAGTCCACAATATTCGGACCGATAACGGTCTGGATATAGTTTGAGAATGGCGCCCGTCGGGATATGAAACTTTTAAAAGTTGCAGGCAAGTCCAATATATTTAGACCGGAAACGGTCTGGATATAGTTGCAAGTTTTAAAAGTTGCAGCTGGGTCCTCAATATTCGGATCGATCCCGGTCTGTATATATTTGCGATGCCTCTTTCCCCCACAATTACAGACCGTTGTCGGTTCGTATATATTTTATTATTTTATTATATTATTTTTTTTAGACCAATTTCGGTCCGCTTATTTCAATTTCTCAATAATTATTTATATTTCTTACTGAAATATACGGACCGATTTCGGTCAGGATAGTATATATATACGGACCGATTATACGTCGGTCTGTATATTATACTTATTCGTATCAGGTTTTTTCAGATCAACTATAAGGACCAATATCGATCCGTATATATATATTCAGACCGGTTGGTAATATATCCGGACCGATATTTCGGTCCGGATATCCCATTCCTGCAGTAGTGACATGAATGGATAGAAAGAGATAAACATGATTTTTGAGTTGCACAACTTTTGATGCAACAATTTTAACAAAGCTAGAAGGCATGCAGGCTATAAAGCATTTGCTTCAAGAATTTATTTCTTTACAACTCCACCAATCCAGTCTTTAGCATATGAGACAATGTCTACTTCCATGCCAAGGTGGACAAATCAAATCTATCTCCTTCCCATGAACTAACCTTCAATGTTTAGAAGACCAATCATAAACCATCAGGCTAACTAGCTTGGACTTGTTAGAGAAAGGAATTTTTTTTTTTTTTTGTGAAGGAAATTCATGATCAGACTAAAAGTTGTTAAATTCTTTGATAAGGACTTTTATTGGATTGTAATGTGGCTTTGGGTTAAGTTATCAAAAAGAAGGATATGAAGGCTCAAAATCTCTTGCCATAAGTATTTCCCCTTCACAATCACTCTTCACTCCCC